GCACCAAACCCCTTCTGACCAAGTCCAACGAAAGACCAACAGTTCCTCACCCGCTAGAAAGGGGACCCTTTCTCCCTCTCGCTTTCATTGTCCCCACGTCTGCACTACACTTCCAATGGAAGTCCACAAGCAGTGGTGGGCGGAGTCAGCTCACATGAGCTCTAAGAACCAATCATGCCTATCTCCATCCCAACTCCATGGCAGTGGTATCACCTGGGTGGCCCCACCCAGGCCAGCTGTTAATTAATCACCAGCTTGTCTGTTCGCAGGACTGCTACAAGAGAATGATCATCAGAGGTGGAGAGCATGCAGATATTTTTGAAAAGGAAGAACGCTCAGCAGAAGGTCATTCCCACAGGAAGCACTGGGCCAGGAAGACCCCAACCCATCCTTCTCCAAGGGAGGTAGAAAGGAGAAGTCTCTGTCAGATGTCTCACAGCCAATGGAGATGCAACCCCAGATCTCCTGGCTCCCAACTAGTGTTCCTCCAGCTGAACCAAGCTGCCCCCATGAAACCAAACACATGCAGACCACAACAAGGTGGAGCTGAAAGAGGGCGAAGGAAGGCAGGTCCGACTAGGGGTGGAGATCAGCATCTAGTAGGTGGGTTTGAAGGAGACCCCTATTTCCTTTCCTTGCAGTTTCCTTCCTGGGGCCCCTGCCCCAGACCTCCCATGGTCACCCCGTCCTCCCCTCTCTGTCCCATAATGGGGCACCAGCCAGCTCAGTGAGCAGGTGGGCAGCATTCCCTGAGTGAGCCAGCCCTTCAAGGGGATAAGTTCAGGGCGAGGTTATGTCCATCAGCTTTCAGGACAAATTCTCAGTTTATTAATTCTCCTCCCTGACGCAAAGAAAAGTAAATAAGCTTTTCTCAGGCAGCCTGGCACAGAGGCCTTCCCTATTCAAACACTGTAAGAATCGACAGGCTTGGAAGTATTGAGCTCCCAGGCCCTGCTTCCCAGGGGGCCTTCCTGGCCTCCTGCCCACAACGTCCCAGCCTGCTGAGACAAGGCTGGCCCAGGCACTTTGTAGTGGCAGGCCCCAGGGTCGGATGCTCACAGCCCCAGCCATGGCCTGGACAGAGCCTCAGAAATGGTCATCCAGTGACAATCAGAGATGGCCAGAAAGGGCCTGGCCAAAGCCACAGCATCACACCTGCTTCCTTTCCTCTGTGAGGAAAGCACTTTTTAAGGGTGTTTATTTACTGCTGGCTTCCATTTAAATTGTGTTTTTAAAGGCTCAAAAGGAAGAAAAGAAATACTAACAAAATCTAAAGGAGTCGGGTAAATTAATTAGCTAACCAAGAACTAGGAAGGAAGAGTTTTCAAAGGAGTATGCTGTGAGTATTTCTAAGTAGTTGCTCGGGAACCTCTTGTCTGGTGGGATGGAGACTGCTGGCGCTTCATAGACTTCTTGTGGTTGATAACACAGATTCCACGAGTTGGTTTGTTCACCTCTATTTTCTTTCCTATTTGCCTATTTCTGATTTGGAAGGGAAAAAAACAAAAACCACTGCAAGAGACCTGAAGTCAAGTTGTAAGGTGTAGGGTAAGTAACTGTCAGGTTTTTCTGCCCTCTGGCCATTAGGATTGATGATGGATCCCTGGAGTCCTGAATGCATGCCTGATGGCGGGCACCTGGAATAGGGTGTAGGCCTTCGTAGGTGGGTTCATCTGGAATGGGACTGAGCTTATAAGGGTGTTGTCACGGGGACGCCAGAAGACCACTTGAAGAAGAACATGTGAGAGAGCGGAAGAGAAGCAGAGGCCACCAGAGAACGCTGGAGAGTCCAGGAAAAATGAAGATTTGCTGGGGGCTAGGTGGCCTGCCAACCTCCTAGTCTCCCAGCACCCCTGCCTGACGTGTACCTGGTAAACTCAATAAAAACCTAAAAAAGCCACCAAGGACTCCTAGGACTCCTCCTTTACCCCGTCTGCTCAGATCTTAGGGATCCTGCCCTGTGCCCATCCTGCTCCTACACAAGGACAACAAAAACGGGAGACAGTGAGACACTGTGAAGATCTTGACCTTGGCGCAGCTGTGTGCGCAGCCCAAAGAGTGTGTCCTGGGAGTTCTGATGTGTCTGGTGTCACGCTAAGGAAGCCAGAATCAAGATTCCACTAAATGGAAGTATCTTGCAGCTCCAAAACTGCTCTCCCCAAGTGCTGAACAGTTGGGATATTTCTTGCAACTGTGTTTTCACAGAAGAGTTTCTTCACCCCTCACATTTGATTCTGCCAGTCCACCTCCCAAGTCCCAAGGTTGCTGCTTCCTCCAACTCCCTTTCACCAGTATTTCTCCAGAAGTGTCCTCTGCAGCTCAAAGGTGACTACAAAGGACTCAACCCAAAAAATATACACAAAACATCTTTGCTTTTCCCTATGTGGCCTCCAGCTCTCCCTGCAATGCATCTCTGTCCTTTCCTATTTGAAGTCTGCGCCTTTATTGACTGTGCATATGCAAGCTCTAAATCTGTCTTCTCTCAAGTTCCCAGTGCAGTTCCAATACTCAAAAAAAAAAAAAACAGTATTCTAAAACATTCAGGTGACCCACTCCCAGACTTCAAACTATACTACAAAGCCATAATCATCAAAACTGCATGGTATTGGAACAAGAACAGACATACAGACCAATGGAATCGAATAGAAAATCCAGAAATAAACCCACAGATTTATGGTCAACTAATCTTTGACAAAGGAGCAAAGACTATGCATTGGAGCAAAGAAAGTTTGTTCAATAAATGGTGCTGGGAAAACTGGGTCGCTACATGCAAAAGAATGAAGCTTGACCACTACCTCACACCATACACAAAAATCAACTCAAAATGGATTAAAGAACTAGACATAAGACCTGAAACCATAAAATATATAGAAGGAAATATAGGCGAAACACTACATGATTTGCACATCAAAGACATCTTTACAGACACATCACCCAAAGCAGTGATAGTGAAGGCAAAGATAAACAGCTGGGACTACATCAAATTAAAGAGCTTCTGCACAGCAAAAGAGACAATAACAAAAACAAAGAGAAACCCCACCAACTGGGAGAACATTTTTGCACCCAACACTAATGATAAAGGACTGATCACAAAAATCTGCAAAGAGCTGATGAGACTCAACAACAACAAAGAAAATAATCCAGTCAAAAAATGGGCAGAAGAGCTAAAAAGAAACTTCTCTGAAGAGGAAATGCAAATGGCCAACAGGCATATGAAAAAATGTTCAACATCACTTGTCATCAGGGAAATGCAAATCAAAACTACCATGAGATACCATCTTACACCAGTGAGAATGGCACATATTAAAAAAACTAGCAACAACAAATGTTGGCGAGGGTGTGGAGAAAAAGGAACTCTTCTGCACTGTTGGTGGGAGTGCAAACTGGTCCAACCACTGTGGAGAGCTGTGTGGAGATTTCTGGACCTACTAAACATAGAGCTTCCATATGATCCAGCAATTCCACTCCTAGGTATTTACCCAAAGGACACAGAAACATCAATTCCAAAGAACACCTGCACCCCTATGTTTATAGCAGCACTGTTTACAATAGCTAAGCTTTGGAAACAACCCAAATGCCCAAAAATAGATGACTGGATCAAGAAGATGTGGTACATATATACCATGGAATATTACTCAGCATTCAAAAAAGATAAACACATGCAATTTGCAGCAACATGGATGGCGCTGGAAGGGATCATGCTCAGCGAAATAAGCCAAAAAGAAAAAGAAAAATACCGGATGGTCTCACTCATAGCAGGAATCTAGAAAACTTAAATAAGGGACCAGGAAAATGAATAACTATAAGAAAGTGAAAATCAAAATCAACAAAAAACTATGAACCAGAGACACTTTTAGGGGGGCGGGGGCGGGAGGGGAGGGATTGGGGTCAGAATGGGGGGGCTGCAATTGTATGGGGAATATAAAAATAAAATTTATTATTTAAAAAAAAAAAAACATTCAGGTGACCACATGGGTGTGCAAGTCTCCCTCACACCTCCCCTACAGCCCTATCTGGAAAGGAGGGAGTCCCCAGCGTGGTCCATTTGGGGCCCTGCTGTCACTCTTTCTGGCCCCCATGTCCATTCCTACTCTGGTGTGACCCCAGGACCAGGGTGCCGGTATAGATCTGGCCTGCTCTTCACAAGGGCTCCAGCCAGCATGAGCTCTGGGTCATCCTTCCAGTGTCAAGGATGCGTGAAGCCAGGGGACCCTTCCTCACAGCAAAAATAAAATACACAGGACTACAAAGGAAACAGATAATACTGGACTACACTTAATCCAAATATTTTCAAAAACCCAGATTTATAGTACAGATATGTAATGTATCACTTGCTAATACACTTACTGATGATTGTAAATTAGATCTGACAGCCAGTCTGGTAACTTGCGTAATTTGGAAGCAACAGCATGAGTAAACAATGCGTAGTGACATCAGCACTAACTATAACGTGACATGCAAGCAGCCTTGACTTCTGCTGGTGGCCATGTCACTGGAGCTGCTGATGCAGCAGTGGTTTGTGGCCAGTCTGAGGTGAGAAGACAGGAAGCTGTGCGCCTCTTCCCTTCCCAGTTCATGGGCCCAACCTAAATTCTTTGTGGGGAGATGCCAAGTGCTCTAAGAATGCCTTTTCATGCCCACCACTCATTTCCTTCCTTCTCTGCAGCCCCAGGAAGGGTCACATACCCCCAGCTCAGAGGTGTTGGACAGGCCAGTAGCTTCTTGCCCTGGGTGGATGGTGGACAAGCAAGAGGCACACAGCTTTGAGGGTTCCAGGGTTGGCCACAGACACCACTAAGTCCCCTCTCCCTTTAATTCCTGGAAGGGGTACCACAGAATAAGGCCCCGAGGCTCCTCTCTCCTCAGTCCAGTCCAGAGCCAGTGCCTGCCTCCAGACGGTACAGAGGAGCCTAGCCCTTCCAACCTGCTTTCCTGTCTCCCCCTCCCCCTCCATCCCACCTGGCAGCAGAAGCAAGACCTGAACAGAGGAAAAAACCTACCTTCGGGCTCCTCCACGCTACTGGCTGCAGTGGTTGGTGGTGCGACGGGGATCTCTTTATGAGGTTCAAGATGGAAGGAAGAGAAATCAAGGTTAGATGTCATCTTTTACCTTAGAAAGGAATAAGCCCAAAACAGGCCCCTCTCTCCTCCCTTCAACCCCCCCCCACCCCCACCGCCGCCACAGCTCCAGAAGAGCAGAGTCAGGGAGGAGAGAGCCAGTGTGGTGCCTGAGCAAACTGCCTCTCTCTGGAAGTTGTCCCTCCACCAGGATGTCAAGGCTCCTGGTTGTTGAGGAAAGGGAGTGAGGAGAAAGCCTCCAGGAAGAGCCGGTAGCCTGGACAGCTGACCTTGACCCCTCTACTGGTGTCATCAACTCAGCTCCATCCCTGGGGCAGTGGAAAGGCTTCCCCAGCCCCCTGCTCATCCCCTTGGAGTTGCCTGGTCCTGCTCACCTCTGACCTTGACTCGTTGGTGTGGGAGGTCTCCATAGCAGGGGCTGGGAGGTGTCTTACCTGGGCAGAGAGGTGTCTGCATTCTGCACCCCTGGACCAGGTTCCCCTAGACTCACATCTCCCAAGCAAAGGCTTTTCTCAGTGGACAGAACAAATTGATACTACAAAGAAGGTGTAGCCTGAGAGAAGCACGTGCTTTATTGTGATCATTCCCTTTCTGTCTAGAATGGCAATCAGTTCTTACTAGTTGCTGCATCTGACCCTATGCTCAGAAAAGGTGAGGGGGTTCAGGCAGCTTCCAAAACAGTCCAGGCATTGACGTTTCAGCTCCCTCTTTCTGGAAGAATCCAAATCAGGGGCCAAAAGTCCGAGGGGCAGGGACTCACCTCCTCTGGTTCAGAGAGGGCCACAGAGGCTGCCACAAGCCCTACTGACCCTAGCCACCATCTGAATATTTGGGGTAAAAACCTCCCTCCAACCCCAGACTCTAGATCAGCTGGGATCTGAAGCTTGGATCAAAATGAAATACTGGGGCCTAGGGGCATACCTGAGAGTCACCCAGAAAAGCCAGTCTTTGCACCTTCAGTATGAAGGACCGGAGCACCTAGTCCCCAGTTTGGAGGCAACTCTTGTTCTCAGGTTTACTAGCAACAATCCACAGGTGCCTCCTAGCCACAGATCATCAAGAAGCTGGACATCCCATCCAGTCCCTCTCAGTCCTCAAGAGCTACCCGATCCCAGCAGAACATTCTGAAGGGAACATCTGAACAACCCAGGCAAATCCTGCACATTCACAAACTGGGATGGACCAATGGCCATGAGTCACACTGGCCGCCCAGCCCCAAGCCTCAGGCCTGGCACAGGGATGCTCACAGAGGGCTCCTGGCTGCCAGAGCTATGATAGAACAGGGCACTGTCTGGGCACCTGTATCCTTGTGCCCTCAGGAACAGGTCATGGAAATTCCAAGATGGAGACCCAGGTCTTCAGGTTGTTGAATCTGGAGTGGTCAACATTCCCAGGGGGGACACTCACACCCAGCATCAGCCTGTCCTTCCTGAGAGGGAGGAGGTACAGAGCTTGTCTGAAAGCAAGAGTTCCCTTTCCCCAAAATTTCTGTCTCTGCTTTTGAAATGTCAGCTCCACTCCAAGGTCTCTCCCCTTGGTGATTTAAAATGTTTCAAGCCTTTTCTGAGCAACATGACAGCTTCTGGCTCCCTCCCCCTACCCCCCAGGTTTTCATGACCTTAGATGGCAAAGCTGATTTCCTCCTAACTTTCCAAAAATGTTCAAATTTTGTGGCTTTTGGATGGAGAGCAAAGGCAGACTTTTGCAAGCTGTGAGTCTGATAATTCGACACTATCATGAAGACCCTTTCAACCTGCTTGGCCCTGGATAGACACTCGTTCAGCTTCCTGAGGCTGGGATGTTATCTGCTGTAACTGGACCCCTGCAAACATCCTCACGGAAACATCACCTGATTTAGAAGGTGGTCAGAACAGCTACTGGAACTAGTGTAGCTCAATCTTTCTAGAACGAAGGTCACATCCCACTCAGGCTGGTGAGGCATGGCATGTCCAAAGCTCCCTCCTATGGGGGGGACTTTCCTGCCAGGTCTGTGGGATCCACTGGGGTGAAGAGGCCCCAGCTTCTTGTTTGTGTCCCACATTCTACACACACCCTAGCCCTTGTCAGGTGAGTCTAGGTTTGTTCCAAATCCTTCAGGATGGAAGGGGAAAGCCTTCTATGCCCAGCCAGAGGTAAGGGACATTGAAAACCCTACAGCACAGACTTCTCCTGTAAAGGGACGACTAGTTGATATTTTTGAGCCTACAGGTCACATGGTTCAACTATTCAACTCTGCTGTTATTCCCTTGCAACCGTTCAATTCTGTGATTAAAACGCAAAAGCAGTCATAGGCTGCATGGAAAGAAACAGGCATGGCTGTGTCCCCAGAAAACTTTATGTATGGACACTGAACTTCTCATTTCGTTTTCACAAGCCTTGAAATGTTTTTCTTTTTGATTTTTGTTTAAAATCATTTCAAAGAGTAAAAGTCACTCAGCAACACAAAAACAGGTGGTGGGTCAGAAAATACTACCCCTGCTTGAGAGAACCACCTTGCTCCCTGAGGGTTCCCTCCTTCCTCAGCAATCCTTTCTGGGTTTGGGTCAGTCCTACACAAAGAGTCGCCAGGGCGGAGGTCAATGTTCTAGCTGGCTTCACTTCCAAGCTGGGCTAATTCTCCATTCATAACACCTGTAAAATACTAAACTTCTGAGCCAGAGCCCCTGGGTGATCCCTGCCATTCACTCCCTTCCCAAGCTCCAGCCACTAAGGAGCCACTAAGGCTGGCTGGAGAGGGCCCCTAAGATCCCAGGGGTGCTATTATGCTTCATAAGGGCCACAGTGCCACACGTGGGAGTCCTTCCCAGTTTCTCTCAAAGGCCTCTTGTTCTGCATCTGCCCGGGGTAGGGGATACTAGAATCCCTACAGCAGAAACAATGATGGCCCTGAGTACAGCGCCACCCCAGGTCCATGCTCAAGGTGGAATATGAGGACACGAGACATGTGCCGAGGAGAGGGGCTTCCTTCCCCGGGGAGCACAAGACTTAGTGTTCGTCAGGACAGAGCAGTAGGCTGGCTCTGCTGCGCCACCAGCAGCTTCTGCAAGAAGCCTGCACGCTCATGGTTCTTACAGGGTCCCCACGAGGACAGAGCACTGAATGCGGAGATCCCCACCAATGAACACTAAACCCACTGGTACCAGTGCTCAGCACTGGGTTTCCTTCCCCTGCGGATGTGGGTGTCCTGCACGTACTTATGCAGGGGGCGATGGGGGAGCGGCTCTGCTGGTAGCCCTTAGCGCAGCGGTTGCAGGTGATACCCGTCACGCCGTCCTTGCAGGGACACTGGCCGGTGGTCTGGTTGCAGGTTTTGCCAGCAGCACCCACGGGATGGCAATCGCAGGCTGTGGAGAACACACAACAGGAGTGTCAGAGGGTGAGGAGGGGCAGTGCATGCCTCCCGGGGGGTGCCGCCACACCCAGGGACCCCACCCGAGGGAAATGGCAGGGGTGGCAAGACAGGCCCTGCCAAGCCCACACACATTGCAGAAATTCCACCAGTTGGCCCCCTGCCGGCCCAGGAATGGAGAATGACAATCAGGATGGGCCAACTTGGGAAGATTCCTCTGTGAAGGAAAGTGAAGCTGGGGGGGTCCTTCCAAAGTCCGAGAGGAGTATGTTTTTGGGAATGCACAGCTAAAGGCTGACCATGGAAGAGAGGGGTTTGGGCCTGGTGGAGCCCTGAGGTTTATCAGGTCAGAGGAAGTCACCAGTGTGACTCCCTGACTGCTGCCCTTTCACCTGCCTCAAATACACTGTGCCCACACAGCCTGAGGTCCAGGGCTTGACTTCTGAGTCACAAAACCTGTAAGCTGTAGCTCCAGGAAGAGCCACAGCAATCATCTGAACACGCTGATAGAATGTGCAAAGACTGGGGAGATGACGGGACCTCCCCTTACCCCCACCCGGTGTGGCATAAGGGAGGTGTAGCGAGGTCCTGAGTCTCAGCCAGATGCTCTTGCAGGGAACACAGGCCCCACACCCCTAACTCATGGGTTGGAACAGGCTACAGGCTGGATTCCTCTCCCATCACAACATGTCCCAAGATCCAAGGACCCAACCCCAGTGATAGAGCAGCCAGAGGACTTTGGAAGGACACCCTCATTATTACGAATTAAATGTTTGTGCACACCCAAACCCCCCCCCATCTCCCAGTTCATATATTGAAGCCCTACTCTCCAAAGTGGTGGCATTTTCTACTTATGAAGGGAATTAGTTTAGATGAAGTCACAAGGTGGGCCATCATGATGGGATTAGCGCCCATGTGAGGAGACAAGGAGAGCTTGCTGTCCCTCCAAGGACACACACCCCTGGGCAAAGACCACGTTCGCACACAGCAGGAGACGCTGTCGACCAATCAGGGAGAGTCCTCACTAAGTGCCACATCTGCCCACACCTTGAACTTGACTTCTCAGCCTCCAGAACTATGAGAAATAAGTATCTGCTGTTGAAAGCTCTCAGCCGATTGTGTTGGGTTACGGCATCCCCAACTGACTAACCCCCTCTTCCCCTAACACCACGATGCTTGGCAAAAACTGCTCCACCAGCAGGTAATGGGGCCTTGCTTGCTGCACCTGCCTCCCTGGATCCAGGCAGTGAATTCAGAGTGTGTGAGGGGAAGGGAAGACTGAATGAAGGAGGCAAATGTTCCTCGCCCACTACAAGTTCCCGCTCCTCCTCCCAGGGAGGCCCGGAGAGCATGGGGAGTTGTCTGCAAGAAGGCATGGAAGCCATGTCAGTTGGTGCTACAGGGTTGCAATGTGTTTCTACTCCAGATGGGAAACAAATATGCAAGAAATTGAGGGCAGAGATCCTAAAAGAGCTAAATTAGAATTCCCCCAGCCAGCACTGCTCAGCATGGGGGGCACAAGTCTGTGGGTAAAAACATGGCTTCTTCCAGCCAGCCCTGGGCCAAGGAGTGGCTAGATGGGAGAACTGGGAAGGAAGAGGAGGGAGGGGAAAGCAGAAAGTAGAGGAATGTAAAGAATTGTTTGTGGAAGTTGTGTCTGGACTTGTGAGAGCTTCTGGAAGCTTGGGAGCAGGGTCTCGATTGTGGGCGCCCCATGGCAGGTCAGAGAGGACAGAGACACAGGCCCTGGGGCCAAGCAGGCTGCCTGGAGGGATAGTGTGGGTTTCTCACACTATAAAGTCTCAGAAAGGGAAGTGGAACTGTCCCAATCTTGCCCCTCGAGGTAGAATTTGTCTTCTTAAATCTACCCTAAATTCAAGGTCATTCTCTGTCTTTTTTTAAAGATTTATTTATTTATGCAAGAACCGGGGTACAGGCCAGATGTGTGGGAGGGCGAGAAGATTCACCAGAGATAGAGCGGGGAACAGAACAGGCAGATGATGAAACACACTGCTGAGGGGAGCAGTGGGGGAGTCAGGAGAGGTCTGCCACACCATGTGGGACTCTCGCCGGCCGGCCGGGATTGAACCCGCCCTGCAGAGGCTGCAGACGACTTCACAGTGCAGCGCTCAACCGCCTGCGCCACCAGGGAGGCCCTCTATATATTTTATTTTATTTTTTAACTCAGTAGTAAGACCCAGGCTTGCATACAAGCTGTGAATGGTGGTGCTAAGGAGGGGTGGGTGGAGAAGACCTCTGACCTTTCCCTGAAGCTTCCTAAATCCCTGCCTGTTGGAGGAAGGGCAATCAAGCACAGGTGGCATCTCTAAGTTGGTCATCGGAGAGCAGAGGGCCACGACACAGCACCTTGCTGTCCCAAGTCTCTGACACAGACATGGGCACCGGGGGATGTAGACTCCCGAGGCTTATGCCAGCTGACCTCTCCTGGCCTGCTTTGCAAGCCTGCTGGTAATGCTAATATTCGTGCCAAGATGACCTCCCCTCAGTGCAAACAGAACACAGTTGTGCACCAGTAACTTTGGAATCCTTGAACTCAAATGGGTGGAGGTCACCAAAGGTTGCTGGGTCACTGAAGGGTCAGTGCCAAGTCACCCATGGGTACCACTGTTGGCCAAGGTCATATTCACCGAGGCAGAAACCCAGGGAACAGGGGATTGCACATTGTTTCCTGGTGACCTCTTAGCTGCCCAGGCTGGCATGCTGCCAGAGTAGCCAGGTGCCAGCTGAGGTCGGCGATGGCAGGCAGTGTGTCTACTTTGTGGCACAGGCACCTCTCCATCGCAGGATTAAACGAAGGGGGTGCTGTGGTGCTTGCTTTCCAAATTTTTCTCCCAAGATTCTGCAAAGATCTGACCAGTTTGCCCCTTAGCCTGGTCTTACAGAGGTGGCAGGCTGACTGTGCTTCCATGCAAGTCACTACTCCACGGGGAGAAGCCAGTAGAATCCCAAAGATGTGGGTACAGGGGATAAGGGCAGCAGCTCCAGCTACTCAGGTCACCTATAGGTTTTAGGAAAACTTACTTTGAAGCCATTTTCCTTGGATCAAGAAAGAATGCGAGTCTGGGCCTTCCTGGGGGTGCAGGGGTTGAAGTTTCTGTGCCACTATGGCCTGAGTTCGATCCCCGTCCAAGGAGCTACCCACATGGCACAGCAGACCTCTTCTGTCTGGCCCACTGCTCCCCTCAGCAGTGTATTTCAGTCAATCCGCCTGTTCTGCTCCCTACTCTATCTTTGGTGAATCCTCTCACCCCCCACACCTCTGGCCTGCACCCCAGTTCTTGTATGCATAAATTAATAAATCTTAAAAAAAAAAAAAAAAGGATGAGTGCAAGTCTATTCGAATTGCGTTTGGCGTCACGTAACAAAAAACCCACCTAGTTTTGCATTCAGTGGGTAAGCATGTATTTCTCCCTGCAGAACAGGAGGTACAGTGGGGCCAGTCAAGGAGGGGTTAGGCCCTTGTGATGCTCTCAGAGGTCAGACCCTGCCTGTGCCCCCAGAGCCTGCCCTCACCTGCCCATCTGTCCACCATCTCTGCCTCTGTGCTCTCCCTACATTCATTCACAGGCTGGGGCAAGGACAGGGTGGAGACTTCATCAGTGCGGGTGCACTAAGGTGCCATGGGTGCTGTGCTGACGGGATGTTCTTCCCCTGGGGAGGGTCCCACCACCCACCCATAAATAAGAACAGCCCACTTATAGCCTCTGTGCAAAGTGCTGGGCGTCAAAATGTGGGGAGGATTTTCAGAAGACAGCAGCCACAGTGGATTTCTTTAGAGCCACAAGAGAATCTGGTTCCCAATGTCAAAGGAAAGGGGTTTCTGAGCCTACTAATCAGGAGGCCTGGATCCTGACCCTTAGGAAGAAAAACCCAAGGAGATCCTGATCCCTCAAAACCCTGCCATGAACCAGACATGCATGCAGATTTCTACAAACTAACACTTAGGCCAGCAAAGACGCACAACAGACACACAGGCAAGCTCCTACACACGTACACACACATGTTCAGACTCACAAAGACACACATCCAGAAACACACAAACACTGATTCCTACAAACTCACGCAGATTTAGACATACAGAGACACATACACAGAGCAGCGGAGTAAGGCTGTGCTGGGGTCAATGTGGAAATGAGGTAACTGGAAGTCTTTTCCTTTGTAGGGGACTGGTGAGGGGATGAAGAGCAAGCCTCGCAGATTCTGAGAACAGGTCAAGATGTCTTCCGCCACAGGTGATGTTTGGTGACTTTGGAAGCGTCCCTAGAAGTCAGTCGCTTTTTCCAGAGGTCACCAGTTTGCATGAAGCAGGCAGCGCCCGGTCTTGGGAAATAATCTATCCCAGGGTTTTTCCATCAAGGGAAAGGTGAGACTAGCCAGCAGCTCAGGGCCCTGAGAAGGTGGCAGGATTAGGGTTCTCACAGACAGGGCAAGCTGGAGGGCCTCCTGATGCAGAGGGGAGCCCAGACGGCCCGTGCTCTTGCACTGGGTCAACCCAGGCATAGGGAGCTCAAGCACACCAGGGTTTGATGGGTGTCAGGACACCCCATCTGGGCACAGGCCAGCAGTAATACGGTGTGAGCCTAGGTTATTGACTCTGTGGTTCTCAGGTGACTATCTGTAAGGACAGAGGTCTACACTCCTCTCCCACTAAAGCTGCTTCCAACGTAACAATCTGAAGCTTGGTTTGCATGAAGGTTCCAGGGCAACAGCCAGTCCCCTTGGAGTATCACCTCATTGCTGCAGCATGTTGGTGAGGAGGGCAGGGAAGTGTGCTCCTTTGTTGTGGACAACCCTCTCCCCCTCCTCCTGTCAACCACAAGTCTGTTCTCTGTCCTTCTAGTTTGGCCTTTTGAGAATCTCATTCCGGGCTGGAGAGCATACACAGTGTCCGCATGCATGCATGGTGTGTACAGAGGGGACTGTACAGTCTGGTATCATTTGACTGGCCTCTTTCACTTAGTCAAATGCACATGA